GGACCTGTATTTTTCTGAAGGAGTCACGTTTTCTCATGCCTTTGTGCTTTTGCACATGCTACTTTCTGTCTAGAGTGCCCTTCCCCACCCTCACTTCACCCAGCTAACTCCTTTTACAGTGAGCTGAGACCATCTCCTCTGAGAAGCCCGCCCAGATCCTTCTCCACTTAAATTGCTGACAAAGGTATTTCAAGTCAGGAATGCCTCCCTCCATCACTGGCCCTTAGATGGCATTGTGATTAGCTGTTTGTGTCTCTCTCCCAGAGTAGATGATGAGTCTGCATGCTATGTATTTTACCACTGTCCTCCTGGGAGCATCCAACACAGTGGGTATCAGACAAGACGTCAATAATATTTATTCAAAATGATTGATTTCTGTTTGAGTTGAGTTCTCTTATCTGGCATTTCAGAAACACACATAACAAGTGCAACCCAAGTTCTCTTATCTGGCATTTCAGAAACACACATAACCAGTGCAACTCAAGTTTTCTAAGCTCTATTAATTACAAGGAACTGTGGCAAGGGCAGAGAACACAGATAATGTAAGGATGAATAAACATGAAACTCTTCAACTAACTATACTCTCTGGTCCCCTTAAATGCAATAATAGAGCATATAATGAAGTGTACACGCGCACGATCTTTATGAAAATCATTTCTGTTTTCACAAAAATGGAACCACATTGAAAACACTTCTGCAGCTTATTTCCATTGAACAGTGCTTTGCTAACAGCCTTCCATGTCATTACACCCAGAAAATGAATCTTCTGGAGCCTGGTGTATCTGGACCACTTATTAGAATAATAAAAAGCGGCCCAAGGCCGGGCTTAGTGGCTCACGCCTGTAATCCCAGCACTTTGGGAGGCCGAGGCAGGTCAGGAGATCGAGACCAGCCTGGCAAATATGGTGAAACCCTGTCTCTACTAAAAATACAAAAAATTAGCTAGGCATACTGGCAGGCGCCTGTAATCCCAGCTACTCAGGAGGCCGAGGCAGGAGAATCATTTGAACCCGGGAGGTGGAGGTTGCAGTGAGCCGAGATTGCGCCACTGCACTCCAACCCGGGCAACAGAGAGAGACTCCATCTTTAAAAAAAAAAAAAAAAAAAAAGGCCTGATTTATGAATTGACCATGTTTCCCTATGCATATATACACAAATATGAAAATACACCACCAGTGTTTTCTATTTGAGACATGTTATGTCTTACCTGAGGAGGCAATTTCTTCACCTCTTTTCATTCCCAATCTTTTATAAATTTCTCTCTCAGGATCGACATAGATTTCATGAGAATATCCAGTCAGTCTGCAAAAAGGCTGAAAAGAGAATGGTTGGAATTTTTATAAGAACAAATGAGAGAAAAGTAACGATACTCTAACTTCAGCCAATTTAGCCTACATTTAGTGGTTTAAATAATGTAATTTTTATGTCGGAAAAAGATTTTATTCTTTAGTCTCCCAATGTACTAGATATTTACCTCAATATGATGGTAGGATGACTGTCCAATCACTATAAGGGTGACATTTGCTTCCTTAGGAGGAAAAAAATGACATTATATATAATTAGAAATTATGCACGTTTTATACAACATCCCTTAACCCAACTCTTCTGTTTCATTCTAATGCCACCTATAGGCTTCTAGAGGAATGGAATAAACAGCAAAATTGTGTGAGTTAATGCAAAGATACGTATGGTAAAATATTAATTCAGATGTTTCTTTTGCTAAGTAGGAATTTCAAGACTTACATGTAAGACCTAAAACTATAAAACTACTAGAAGAAAACTACAAAACTGCCACATGACATGGGTATAAACAATCATTTCTAGAATATGACCTCAAAAATACAGAAAACAAAAAGCAAAAATTGACAAATGGGACTATATCAAACTAAAAAGCTTCTGCACAGCCAAGGAAATAGTCAACAGAGAAGAGACAACTCACAGATTGAGAGAAAATATCTGCAAACTATACATCTGATAAGGGGCAAATTTCCAAAGTGTAAAAGAAACTCAAACAACTTTGCAAGAAAACAACATAGCCTGATTAAAAAATGGACAAAGGGCTGAGCATGGTGGCTCACGCCTGTAATCCCAGCACTTTGGGAGGTCAAGGCAGGTGGATCACCTGAAGTCAGGAGATCGAGACCAGCCTGACCAACATGGTGAAACCCTGTCTCTACTAAAAATACAAAAATTAGCTGGGTGTGGTGGCACGTGCCTGTAATCCCAGCTACTCTAGAGGCTGAGGCAGGAGAATCACTTGACCCTAGGAGGCGAAGGCTGCAGCAAGCCAAGATTGGGCCACTGCTCTCCAGCCTGGGGGGCTGAGTGAGACTCCGCCTCAAAAAAAAAGAAAAAAAAAGGACAAAGGATATGAATAGCTCTCAAAAGACATACAAATGGCCAAGAGATATATGAAAAGATGCTCAAAATCACTACTCATCAGGGAAATACAAATTCAAAGTACAATGAGATATAACCTCACACTTGTTAAACGGCTATCAATAAGATGCAAGGTAAGTGTTTGGTGAGGATGTGGAGAAAAAGGAACTTTTGTACGCTGTTGTTAGGAATGTAAATTAGTACAGCCATTATGGAAAACAGTCTGGAAGTTACTAAAAAATCAAAAATAAACTATAATATGATTCAGCAATCCCACTACTGGGCATTTATCCAAAGGAAATGAAATCAGTATGTTGAAGAGGTATCTCCACTCCCATGTTTTATTACAGCATGATTCACAATAGCCAAGATACAGAAGCAACCTCAGTGTTCAACAATGGATAAATATAAAGAAAATGCGGTACAGGCTGGGCGCAGTGACTCACGCCTGTAATCCGAGCACTTTGGAAGGCCCAGACGGGTGGATGGGTCAGGAGTTCGAGACCAGTTTGACTGACATGGAGAAACCCCATCTCTACTAAAAATACAAAATTAGCGGGGCATGGAGGTGCATGCCTGTAATCCCAGTTACTCGGGAGGCTGAGGCAGGAGAACTGCTTGAACCCGGGAGGCGGAGGTTGCAATGAGCCGAGATCACGCCATTGCACTCCAGCCTGGGTGACAAGAGTGAAAACTCCGTCTCAAAAAAAAAAAAAAAAAAGAAAGGAAGAAAAAGAAAATGCGGTATCACAATGTAATATTATTTAGTCATAAAAAAGACATTTTTCTGTTATTTGTGACAACAGTGGATGCACCTGGAGGACATCATGTAAGTGAAATAACCCAGGCACAGGAAGAAAAATACCGCATGATCTCACTTAGCTATGGAAACGAAAAAAGTAGAGTGGAATGATGGTTACCAGAGACTGGTTACTCAGGGATGAGGAGAAGGGAGATGATCCAAGGGTACCAAGTTTCAGTTAAACAAGAGGAATAACTTTTAGAGATCTGCTGCACAGCATGGTGACTAGTTAATAATGTATACTTCAAAATTGCTTAAAGACTAGTTTTTACACGTTGTCATCACAAAAAAAATAACTAAAATCACTATCTGACATGATGGGTATATTATCTCAATTTAATCATTCCACAAAAGTAAATGCCTATCAAAATATTACACTGCATCCCATAAACATATACAATTATATATGTCAATTTTTAAAAAGAGAATAAAAGGATACGCAGACGAACAGTCAAAACATTGTTTTCGAAATGATATAGTCAATAATTCTCTATATTCTCCCCAAAGACATACTTTTAAAACTAGGCACAGTTATTTAATCAGTTTTTTCACATCCTAATTGATAAGGCCTGCTGAAAAAACATCTGTTTTACAAAGGCTGCCCAATGCCTTCCCTCAAAAAGCTCACTTGGGCACGAACTTATCTGTGCCTGAAGAAAAACAAGTATGTGGCTATGCTAGGGAACATGGAACTTGCAGCCTATTAACATAAACATTTGCACCTTTACGATATATTAGTATTTTCCCATAATGAGCAGCTATTTGGAGTGCAACAAAATTAAAGGGAAGAAAATATCAACCATTTCCAGCATTTGTTTTAGGGCATTATCAGTCAACATTTGAGAACGGGCGCTAGGTTACCAGGCAACACCACAATTGTTAGTACGTTCACCACCAGGCAGCACCCAGTGAGTTACGACAGAAATAGATCTCTGACGTCTCTCTTCCTTTGGAGGGGCGAGGGTGGAGAGAGGTGCGGGGAGGGGCAATACGGGTTGCAAGTGCGTGCTGGAGCCGCGTCCTCCCCCGCCCCGCTCGCAAGGTCTGCAGAAGCCTGCACTGGGCCGCCCACGCTCAGAAACTCACTTGTAAGAAACTCTTGGGGATTTTGGCCAGATCCTCTACGTATTCCTTGCAGATGTAACACAGGAAATGCTGAAAGCCAATTGGGCAGAAAGGGCAAGTTAGGAACGCAGCACCCGCGCGCCCCGAAAGAGCCCGGTACTTCGCTGTGCGTGACGCGACTAAAGGCGGCGCCCGCGGGGCCGGGACAGGCTGCCCGGACGCCCGGCGCGTGGGAAGCGGGCCTCGCCCTCGTCGTGCCCCGCCCTAGTTGGGAAGCGGCCGCGACTGGGGAGGCTGCCTTCCAGTTTCCGTCCTAAGAAGCAGGAGGAGCAGCTCGCATCCCGCAGCCTGCCCGGGATCCCGGGCCGCGCCTCCCTCCCAGCCGCGCCACCCGCTCACCCGCACGAACACCACCACGGCGCGGCGCTCCCGGAACAGCGCGCCGAAAGGTACCCGCTGCCCGCGGGCGTCCAGCACCGGCAGCTCGGCCACGGCGGCCGCCAGGGGCTGCCCACGGTCGGGGCCGCTCGGGGCCGGGACCGGGGCGGTGCCGCCGCTAACCTGCCGCGTGACCGGGGCGGGCGCGGCCATGACGCGGGGCGGCCAAGGGCCTGGGTCCGCTCTGCCAGCGCGGGGCGGGGCGGGGCGCGCAGAGGCGGGGCACGGGGGGAGGGGCGTGCAGAGGCGGGGCGGGGCGCGCAGAGGCGGGGCGCGCAGGGGCTGGGCGCGGGGGGCGGGGGGCGGGGGGCTGGGGGCGGGACCTGGCAAGCCACGGTTTCCGCCGCGCTGCGCGGGCCTGGGAGCTGCCGGAGTGAACCCCGCGGGCGGTTCTGACTCTGCTGTCAGGGTAGGGGACAGAGAGAGAACGTAAGGTCCGTCCAGGGCGAGCAAACGTTATTAAGGAAGAAAGCCGCCCGCGCCCTCCGTAGCCACCTGAGCGGAGGTTCTCACCTATTCGAGAACTAATGGGTACGTGTGAAAAGGTGGGCTAGGGCTGGGCCCGCCTTTTGTAGAGACACAGGCCGGACCTGTAATCCTAGCGACTTGGGAGGCCGAGGCGGGAAGATAATTTGAGGGCAGGAGTTCAAGACCAGTCTGGGTAGGTAACAGAGGGCAACACCATCTTCGTTTTTTAAAAAAATAAATAATAAAAATAAAAAAATGGTGAGCTGGGAGGGATAAGGATAATGAAGTTGGATGGCTTAGCAGCTGTTTTGTAGAAATCACACACTGCCAATTCAGTTTCTCCTGGGGTGGGTAGGCAGGCATAGGGAAATCTGGGGATCTCAGCCTTTGTGAGACCAAACTGGCCCTGGATTTAGAGGTGTGTCTTTCTCGGGTTTCTCATGGGTGCTAACCGTGTGTCCGAGATTTCCAGAGCAGGACCAGGTAACATTCAGGCTCTTTGTCTTCATAAGTTTACTCACCCTTGTGTACGGATTTGGAGTTCAGAAAGTACATCCTTTATCTATGGTCTTTGTTGAGTTGAAGAATATTTCCGGGGCGGAGCACTAGGCAGGTCTATGTGACTGATGTGACTCTGCCACAAAGCACAGGAAGGGCTGATGCTGCATCCTCTGGCTTTCATCTGTGTGAAGATTGTATACTTTATTGAGCACACATTAAGTGCTCTGTTTGAGAAGCTCTGCAGTGTGTTTAGAAAATTTTAAGCACAGATATGTTTCTAAGTCAACATAGTTTCTTTCTGAGACAGGGTGTCGCTCTGTTGCCCAGTCTGGAGTGCATTGGCACCATCATGGCTCACTGCAGCCTCCACCTCCTGGGCTCAAGCAGTCCTCCTGCCTCAGCCTCCCAAGTAGCTGTGATCACAGGCATGTACCACCATGCCTGGCCAATTTTTTTTAGATTTGATTTTGTAGAGACAAGGGTCTCTCTATGTTGCCCAGGCTGGTTTTGAACTCCTGGGCTCAAGCAATCTTTCTTGCTTTGGCCTCCCAAAGTCCTGGGGTTACAGGCATGAGCCACTGGGCCTGGCCAGGAGCTTTATGAGTTTTTGGAAATAAGTGCATGACCAGAGTGCAGGCTGATGAATAGCACTCGCAACAGGCAGTTTGCCAGATGTCACCAAATTTATTGTAAGCAGTGTTTTGATAAGCAGAAATTGATATACAGGTAAGAATGGTGGTATTTTGGCAGCTCTAGTTAATAACTGATATCAACGAATGAAAAGTTTTCTTTCACATACTGCTTTTGGTGTCATATTTCATGTGAAATAAATGACAGGTTAGACAATTTCATTTTCAAATCCAAAGAGCCACATGACTTAGTTTTTGCAGAGTGATGAACTCAGATATCATCAAAACATAGTTTTGTAGGAGGAACAGTAGCCATGCAGAAATGCAGAAATTAGAAGGTATTGTCTAGGGAGCATCAGTACCTGACACTTACCAACTTACTGCTTCTCAGCTCCAAATTAACCCTTCACTATGTGCTCTGTGACAACGGACAGATTTCCTCTAAGCATCTAACCTTTGTAATGAGCAATATATTAAGCATTTTTAATAGACAATGTTGGCAGGACATTGCAGGAGGAAGGGGATTTCAAATAGTCCCCTGAGGGTAGTGGGTGGAGCTCTGCCTCTGGCACTTTACCAGGATACGCACTTCCTTGGCAACACTGCAACTATTGGCCGTTCTAGCAATAACCTAGCACCTCACTTGATATGAAAACTGGAACTCGAAAGCCCTCCTAACTCCACTAGCAGCCCAATTCCTCACCTGCGCCCCCAATTCTTCACCTGTTCCCATCGAGCCACCGCTCTCTGTAGAGCCGTTGGCCAACCTGTACCCATCACCATTCCCTCTGCACTCATGCCACTGCTTGCTGATGACCTATGTCCTGCCTGCATTCTGGTGGGTTCCTTCCTGCCTTCCCCTTGACTGCACACCAGATCCAGCCTGGGCAAGCCATCAAACTTCTACACAGTAGCTATCCAGTAGGCTGACCTATACCTGCTCGCGTCAGATCTGAAACCCAGATTTGGGGAAGGGGTCCCTTTCAAGTTTATCTTCTTTGAGTATTTGTCCTTAGCCATAGGTTCCTTATATTTTCTAGACATACTTTAATCAGATTTGTTGTCTTTTCAGAGATGGGGTCTCACTATGTTTTCCAGGCTGGAGTCCAGTGGCTATTCACAGGTGCTATGATTATAGCACACTACAGTGTCATACTCCTGGCCTCAAGCAATCCTCCTGCCTGAGCCTCTTGAGTAGCTGAGACTACAGGTGCATGCCGCCATGCCTGGCTGATCAGAGTTTACTCATTCATTATATTAAACTTTACCTGTTTAACCTACAGTGTGGTTTCAGTCTCATTATTGGACCCAGACTAATACAGTACCTTTAGATACTATGATTAAAGAAAAGTAAATGTAAACTATTACCGTTTCCATTCTGTTATTATTTAGGAATGACCTGCTAATATTTGTTATAATTTGACATAATATTTCATATGTCCATGGTTTAAAAGAAATCAAAGAACACACACTGAAAAATACAGAGGCAGCACCACATGAGTGTAGAGTTGCCAGTGTAGCTACTGTGTTGCCCAAGAAAGCCTCCTCCAGAATATCTTCTGACAAGTTCAACTAGAGATTCAACTACCAAGAATACAGCTCTGAGGGGACAACACCAACTTTTTCTTAATTTGTTAATTTTAAAAAATCTTTCACCCTTTTGTGGTAAAATATAAATGACATAAAATTTCCCACTTTAACCACTTTTAAATGTATAATTCATTGGCATTAAGTACATTCACACTGTTGTGCAGCCTGCACCATCATCCATCTCCAGAACTTTTATATCATCTCCAACTGTAACTCTATAACCATTAAACACTAACTCCCCATTCCCTGCTTTACCTAGCCCCTGGCAACCACCATTCTACTTTTTATCTCTATGCGTTTGATTACTGTAGTTATCTTGTATAACTGGAATCAAACAGCATTTGTCCATTTGTGATTAACTTACTTCACTTGGCACAATGTCTTCAAGGTTCATCCTTGTTGCAGCATGTGACAGGATTTCCTTCCTGTTTAAGCCTGAATAATATTCCATTGAATGTATCTACCGCATTTTCTTTATCCATTCATCTGTTGATGGACATGTGGGTTGTGTCCATCCTTTGGCTATTATGAATAAAGCTACTGTGTATGTGGGTGCACAATTCATTAATCTTTTTTTTTTTTTTTTTTGAGACGGAGTCTCGCTCTGTCCCCAGGCTGGACTGCAGTGGTGCGATCTCTGCTCACTGCAAGCGCCACCTCCCGGGTTCGCGCCATTCTCCAGCCTCAGCCTCCCGAGCAGCTGGGACTACAGGCGCCTGCCAACATGCCCGGCTAATTTTTTGTATTTTTAGTGGAGACAGGGTTTCACTGTGTTAGCCAGGATGGTCTCAATCTCCTGACCTTGTGATCCACCCGCCTCGGCCTCCCAAAGTGCTGGGATTACAGGCATGAGCCACCGTGCCCGGTCTTATTAATTTTTTGAGTGTTGTATTAGGGGTCCCCAGAAGAGAACCAGACCATATAGATCTACTGGATCTCTCTAGATAGAGATCTATATATAGATATCTATATATATAGATCTATGTATCTGTGTATGTATATATCTGTGTATGTATATATCTCTATATAAAGAGACATTATATATATATATTTAAAATGGAGAGAGAGAGTGTGTGAATTTTATTTATTTATTATTTGAAACGGAGTTTCACTCTCGTTGCCCAGGATGGGGTACAATAGCGCGATCTCAGATCACTGCAACCTCCGCCTCCTGGGTTCAAGTGATTCTTCTACCTCAGCCTCCTGAGTAGCTGGGATTACAGACGTGTGCCACCACACACGGCTAATTTTGTATTTTTAGTAGAGACAGGGTTTCTCCATGTTGGTCAGGTTGATCTCAAACTCCTGACCCCAGGTGATCCATCCATCTCGGCCTCCCAAAGTGCTGGGATTACAGGTGTGAGCCATCGCGCCCAGCCAAGAGTAAATTTGTTTTAAGAAACTTAGTAGTGATTGTGGGGGCTGGCACATCTGAAATGTGTAGGGCAGGTGACCAGGCTGGAAATGAAGGTAAGAATTGACGTTGCAGTCTTGAGTCCTAATTTTGCACAGCAAGAGGCTGGAAACATCTTGTAGTTTTGAGAAATGCTTATTTTTCAGGAAACCTGTCTTTGCTTAAGCCTCCTCTGACTGGATGAAACTCATCCACATTATGGAGGGTAATCTGCTTTACTCAAAGTCTACTGATTTCAATGTCAATCACATCTAAAAAATACCTTTATAACAACACTTAGATCGGTATCATGTTTAAGTGTTGTTATAAACGACTGGGTATCATGTCCTAGTCAAGCTGACACATAAAATTAATCACCAGTCCATCTCTGGTCAACCTGGCACCCATACACATCTCCTTAAAACCATACTTAATCTCCATATAAAGATAATAACAAAGTCATACATCTGCCTAACAGGATACAACTATCTGGCATAGAACTGAAAATGCAATGGCTGGGTGCAGTGGCTCACACCTGTCATCGCAGCACTTTGGGAGGCTGAGGTGGGTGGATCACCTGAGAGCAGGAATTCGAGACCAACCTGGCCAAGATGGTAAAACCCTGTTCTGTACTAAAAATACAAAAATTAGCCGGCTGTGGTGGCAGGTGCCTGTAATCTCAGCTACTTGGGAGGCTGACGAAGAAGAACTGCTTAAACCCGGGAGGTGGAGGTTGCAGTGAGCCGAGATGGTGCCACTGCACTCCAGCCTGGGCAACAGAGCGAGACTCTGTCTCAAAAAATATAACTGAAAATGCATTAACTTTTCCCCAGAAAAGGATGCAAAATCCTTGGGCGATGTTCACTCTTCTTAATATCCTGTAACTTAAATACTATGATAAAAGTTAAGAGTATTTAAATATTGTAGTGAAAAGTTAATACATCCTACGGTATATAAGGGGATAAAAGAAGGCAGAAAAGATTTTACGCGCACACACACAACATATTCATAAGAAAATAAATATTCACAGCAACTACCATTCTCATTTAAACAACTGGTCACGTGTTTATTATACCTGATATTTATAAATACCTTCTGTTACCCATTCCATATTCCCTTGTCCACAGCAAGCACTTGAGCTGGTTGTGTGGTTTTTTTGCCTGGTGGGATGACCCAAACCTTCGTTCCTGAAGGGGCTGCGCCATTCACAGTCCTGCCTGCATTGGGTTGTAGTTGTCCATTGACTTTAATCAGAAGGTGTATTAATTCTAAGAGACGCCCCAGTGGATGTCCTGCATCCCAGACATATTTTTCCTTACCTCTATCGTGAAGTCCAGTGACCCTTCGTAATTAGGAAAAAAGTCATCCCAGGCAGTCGAGTGACTCCCTTCTTTACCTGCTGACTCAGAGGCATGCAAAGCCTGCAATGGCTGGGTGTTTGTCTTGTCATCCAGTTCAATGAAGTCATTGTTGTGTGACCTGGTGGAAGCATTCCTCCCCTCAGAACTAAGACTGGTGTGGCTCGCCAGGCTGAACGATCTGTGGTCCTCCTCACCCATCGCTGGAAATGCTGAGGCGGAGGTGTGTGCAGGGCTGACGCCCGGGAAGGCTGTGATCCTCCTGAGAAGGTAGATGGGAAGACGGGAGCTGAAGTACTGGGCTTCAGAGGGAGTGAGAGTTGGTGCCTGCCCAGTTACATATGCTCTGACAGGAGTATTCCAGAATATCCCAGGAATATTCTGGGACTTTGGAGACCACACTAGAGGAGTGAGGCCTTGCCAGGCGAGGCAGAATCTTTAGGGAGCATGGCCGCTGCTGTTAGTTACTGAGAGTGAGCTGGGTCTTTTAGTCTTGGGAGGACTTTCTTCCTAATAGCAAGCCGGAGAAGGGATGCGGCAACCTCTCTTTGCCCTCCTTTCTTGGGGCTGGACATAGGGGTAGAGGTGTCCCCCAAGAAGTTCCTTGGTGGTGGGGGTAAAGATGGTCCCTTCTGAGACCAGAGGCCTCCTTGTGGTCAAGTGTGAGCTGACAGTGAGAAAACCGACCTATACACCAGATTAACTGAGTCGTGACAGCCTCAACATTTATTTTCCCTTTCCTTTTCTCAAGGATTTTAGTAAATCCCCATTTGTACGTCTCAGCTAGTTTCAGCTGTGTCACTGGGTTTTGTAAGAAACCATAGACCTTTCTGTGCATGAGTGGAGGAACAGCACCTTCTTGTGGTCAGCATGAAGGTGGCAGTATTAAACATTTATTTTTAGTTATTTATTTATTTTTGTGAGATGGAGTCTGGCTCTTGTTGCCCAGGCTGGAGTGCAGTGGTGTGATATCAGCTCACTGCAACCTCCGCCTCCCGGGTCTCCTGCCTCAGCCTCCTGAGTAGCTGGGATTACAGGTGTCCGCCACCATGCCCGGCTAATTTTTTAATTTTTAGTAGAGACGGGGTTTCACCATGTTGATCAGGCTGGTTTCAAACTCCTGACTTCATGATCCGCCTGCCTCGGCCTCCCAAAGTGCTGGGATTATAGGCATGAGGTACCGCGTCCAGCCCAACATTTATTAAAGAAGGTATCATTGCCTTGTGGAGCTGTATAAGACTGGAAGTTTATACAAGGGCTATGGTGTCCAACTTGGCCTGCTGGAAGTAGTAACCACAGACTCTAAGTGGAGAAGTTGGGGCCCATCAGCGGGCATTTGAATCTCCGGAATCCACCCATCGCAATGTCAGGGCCCTCTTTTGCATACCTGAGTGAGAGAAAAAGGTATGTTCCAATTTGAACTCTGATTCTCCACAGAAAAGGCAGCTGGAGCTGGGGTCGTCGTCCCATCCAGCACATCCAGGTGGCCACCGGGATTCCCTGCGAGAGTCAAAACTCCCTGCAACGTGGGACACTGAAGGCCAAAGGGCTCCCTCTGGCCTCTGAAGAGAACAACTGGGGGCCAAACTGAAAGCTCTGTGGGGACCCAGACGGGTCAGTGTAAAATCAGCTCTAATTTATGGGGTACCCCAGCACACTGGGCTCCTCAGAAAATCCCTGCTACTTTTGCTTTATTTGTTGCTGTGATGGATGACTAAGGTTTGAAGGAGGAAGAAGAACCATCAGGTAAGTAAAGCACAGTTGAACTGTGAGAGGGAACTGAGGGCCTCAACTTCACCTGGAGAAAATATCCCAAACAAAGCAAAAGCAGCTTGAGATGGGATATTGTGAGCGGAGCAATAAAAGAGACAATGGAAACAAACATTTCCCTCCGTTGGTATGGTCAGCCAGCAGGGCTCACAGACGCTGGGCTGCCAGTCG